CCAATCCAAACCATGCTATGATTCTATGATTATTGGATTCTATTGCAAGAGACACCTTACAGTGTACACATGACAAATCTGATATACTTTTAAGCTGTTTTTTGTCTTCTCATAAATGAATTGTAACATTGACATAACATGGAACTAGCAAAACCATGATGGTTTCAAAATATTCCTTTATCAAAGGCACACTGGCTTGTCTTTTCTCATGCTAACAGAGGAAAACTAGAGGTAACTGGAAAGGTTACCTCTGCTTATAGTCTTATAGTTATCTGCTCAAACACTCCACTTTTGGAAAATGAATCCTTCTCAATAAAACAAACCAAACATTTCTCTTCACAAAGGTGAAAGTCCAAGAATAACTGAAGATTCTGGTTCCTACTAAACAGATACTCCGCTCATCAGTAGCACTATAACTCACTGTTTTCTGTAGAAAGCAGCCAAGAATTCAATAGATTATAGCGAATGACCCATAACCTAACGCATGCAAATGGCTGTTCTACAGCCTTTCTTCTTAAGCTCACTTGGGTGTGAAGCCCAGAAGTCCAAAGACAAGTGGGTCTGCAAGCATAAGGATTTAGGAACCACATCTCCACAATAGGAGCTAAAGGACAGCAAGGTGAAGGTATATAATGTGCTCTGGCTACATATACCTAGAGAGAGATGTTTAGCTAATTCTTTGGTGGCAATTTAATGTTACTGTTACACCACTCACAATTCTAAGTAATCATGTTCCATTTTTGAGATAAAAACAATGAAAACTCAGATGCTTACAAGACAGAAACCACTGTATTTTGCTGGACATGCCTCAGAAGGTATAGATACATATCTTTCTAAAGTAGATAGCAGATAATGTAAAAGTTTCCCTGGTACAAGTTTTCCAGACACATCTCATGTCTATAAACACGGAGAGAATAACACACTATGGTTCAGTGAGATATGGAAACTTCTGGGGGATGCAACTGTAGCTTGGATGATGGACCATCTGTTCAAAACTCCTTGCTGATGACCACTGCAGAGAATGATGGGGTACCTGAGCTTGCAAGTAAGTGGCACAGGCACCCATGCTGTGCCTTCAAAGGCATTTCTCCACTGCCACCTGCTGCTCAAGCAAAAGAAAAATACATGAAAAAGTAGAGGATACTCTCATAGAGTAGCATGCTGCATAGCGTGCTGCAAGGGAAATCACATTTTGCTACTGAGACTGAGAAAAGGTATTACTATAAAAAAGCTCCAGTAAATCAAGCAATCAACAGAAAACAAAGGATTATGGGCTCCTTTTACTTACAAGCATAACATTTCAATTAGTCAATATGAGAATTAATTGTACTGTGAAAAATGCTTTTTAATTACAAACATCACAAGTTTTGTGAAATAAGCATTTCCTAAACAGCCTGAATGACCTCAGGCTTATTTTCCTTTTTTAATTTCAGTTGGCTATTTTTTAAAGCATCCAAGCATAGGACGAAGTAGCTCCCCACATTCACAAAATTCTTCATACTTTTTTGTGGATGGATAACATAATAAAAACTTTTTTAGACCTTCATATCCACCTAGAGCTTGGTTCTGGACTAGTGTACTTGAGATGATGGATTCTACATTTTCAACACAATGTTTCTTCTAACATTTTAATGTTCCTCAGCATTCAATTCCTTAGTCTAGGAAATGATTAACAAAGCTGTGAACTGATATAAACTGGGATAGAGTATTATGACACCTTCCTTCTGGACAGTCCATGAGATCTTCCCAATATTTTCAAAAGGTCTTAATTTAATACTACATTAGAATATTGAAATCCTCGATGACAGCTATGAATGCAGGCAAGATCTGCTATGGTTGAGGGTTTATCTTTATGATGGCTGGCTGAGGGCTTAGAGAAAGTGAATTGCACGCACTTGATTAACTGCCGAAAAAGACAGAAAATGTTGCAGATAATGCAAGGAAAAATGTCAAACCTGGGAGATCCAAACATGTTACACACATGTAGTAACACACACTACAAAAAGTGCACACATGGTTTATGAACTGCAAGAACCCTTCTTTCTAGCAACACAACTTTGAACACTGTCAATGGAGAAACTCCAAGTTTGGGAACCCAAGCACTGACTCATTTTGTACCCATGCAATGTGTAAGTACTAAGTAGACCATGCAAACAAACCCTATTCTGCATGTCAAAAGTGGCTGCCTGAGGGTTGGCGCCGTTAGTTCCCTGCTGACTGGACAGCTTGCACTAGAGATGGCTAACACAGGGCTACAGGCCTGGGAGATTCCAGCAGCCCCAGCAATCCCTGTGTGCAAAGGGGACAAGAAGCTACTCAACCTGTTCTCTGTCCTGCGTGGTCCCTCTCCTGAATGGGATGGCATCCATCAACACAAGTCAGAATTTTGTCAGGCAAAACAACAAAAAGTCTTACAAAATATTCTAGGTGAGCCTAACTTCTGCTCTGAAGTCAACAGTGTTACCGAAAAACTCAGAGTAAAGAACTTATCGACACCAATGTGATGTAGATAAGCAGACACTTCTTTATTGACGGCCGGGTGCGCAGGGGAATGCTCTCGCCAACAACGCACACCAAGCCCCGAAAACATACATCTTATATAGAACTTATTCATGCATATCCATTAAGTACTCATACATAAACATATCATTTCCCAGAAATCATTTACATACTCTCCTCCTAGTTCCAATTATGCGCAATAAAAGCTAGAAATGTCTAGAAATGGGTCTGGGGTGCAATAGGAGTAGGTGGCCCATGAGTCGGTGGTCGCGATCTCCCCCTGCCGGAATGACCTTTTGCTTAAGGACGCGGTTCCCTGGCAGGTACTTGCCAGCTATTACGGTTGGCTTCCCTCAGTTTCATTAATTCCAGACCCTGACAGCTACATGCATTCTTCTAATACTGTAAATCAATTTGTAAATTAACTGGTGCCTGTTGGTGCTCGTTACCTAAGTTACCTAAGTTCTAGATGATTGATTTTGACCAATCCCTTCGGCCTTGGTACAGCCTGTACAGAAGATTTCATAGCAGCAACATTTAACCGTTACTGGTTAAATGTGCAATAGATACAAAACATAATTTCTACTAAAATATCTTCTAACTCTATATATTTATATTAAAACCAAACACAACTAATTCTTATTAATAATAATAAAGTGGCAAATCAGTAACAACAGGAGTTAATCAGGCCTGCACTGAACCCTGTGGCAACCCCATTCCCAACACAACATCTGTACTGATGTATACAGCTTCTTTCACCCAGGGGCTACCAAGTGCTTTACCATCGCTGTACCGACAAACATCCCTCAAACAAACAGACAAAGAGGCTAAGGCAGACAAAGGATAACCACACTGCCCAAGGTCACAGAACATTTTAACAGAACATTATGGGTGTCTCATGCTCCTCATTCAACCACTAACCAATACCTCACTCCAAGACCCTTTTTCAGGTTCAGCATTACACAATATTAGAACTACCATACCACCCATGAGACATAACATAAAGTGTAACTGAAGATGTATTAAGAGATTCTTTAAGTACAAAGGATTATTAAAAGTTATAGTTATTACCAATTGAAGCTTTTTTCCCTTAAAAAAACATAGTAATGGTATATTACCTGTCTCTTCCAGAGAGGTCTTCAACACTTCCAAACCCAGGGACTGGCATAGGACATCCCATGTGCTTGAACTGAGCTATTCGAGCTCTAGGAGCTGGAATTTTCCCATGCGACCTTTTGTGTTCCTGCTCCTCTTTGACCCGCGTATTCTCCCTGTCACAGATGAAACACTCAAAGCCATTCAGGTAATTGGGCAGAGTCATGTCGTTCACTCCCCACTCCCGCCTTGCCAGGCTCTCTAGCAAGAACTGGTTTTTGATTCCACCAAGGTTTTTGTACTCTAGATACTTCATATATTCCTCTCCATTCTTGTCCAGGAAATCAAGATACTTTGCCAGCTCTTGGGGGCTGTCAAAGTCATCTATAAGAATGATGGAGAGGTTGTTTGGCATCCAGTCCCGCACAGCTGGGGAGCCTCGGTACACTGGGACAGCACCCAGGTGCATTGGACGCCACAGCTTCTCTGTCATGTAGTCGTCACATATGGCATTCTCCAAGGCCAGATGAAACTTGTACCTGGCGATAAAAGTCATAAATTCAGAATCTTCTGTAGTGGCTGTAGAAGTGTCTCTCAGTCGCTCACTGGGAAGCTCACGGTTATGCAGGCATTTTCCATAGGAGTCAACCTAAAATAACAACCAGCATCTTTACAAAGTGATTTTTTTGCCCAGAGCTTGTAGTTCTCATGAAATTCCTAACTTGGACCAGTTCTTAGCTACCTTAGTTTAGCCTCACTTTTACTCTAAGTTCTTTCCCTCTTCCTAGAGTCCCAGTTCTAACAGCTTTAGAAGAAACTGAGTGCTCAGTTTCAAAAGCAGCACAGACTACGCTACAGACTGAGGGGTGGAAGAAGTGTGCAGAAAGGAAAGTATCACCCAAAAACCCAATTTATTACTGGATAAATCAGAAACTGAGAGGTAAGGAAGGACATTCAACTCTCTTGAATTTAAAGTTTAAAAGTAAACTTTCTACTTAACAGAGACCCAGTACTTTTCCAAGGAGTTATTACACAGAGTTCCTGCCCAGTCTCAGCAGGCTGGCAAAAATCTTCCATTGGTTGGACTGAGAAAAATTGATGCAGGGAACTAAAAGAATACTATCTAATAATTAAAGACAATACACTTGATCTGGAATCTGCTTCATACTTTGACAATACACAGTCGTATTTTAAAAATTCTTTTGTTTTTGCTTCACTACTGAGTACATAATGAACTTGTGCAATAAACGAATCGTGACCAATAGAAACAGCAGAAATGACTAAGAAAAATACGTTTCAGATAAAGACTAAAACCAGATTTTTTTTCTAATTTACTATCCTTCAGAATTTTTAAGAAAAAAAAGCACTACACTTTTTTCTGCTTAGAAGGAACTACATTATTTCAGTTTATGAAATAAACTGTCCATCAGCAGTACAAACCACCAGAGAAATAAGGTGGTCCTACCACAACGCAGATAATGAAGATTCTCAAAACACAGCAACCTGTTTTTACTGCTCACCTACACTTTCAAATGGGAGCAAGGCTTGCAAACGGACAGCCTTCCTGCACACTAACTTAAAGGTCCGGAGATTTCAGCATCTTCTAGCACCTGGTCCACAAGACCAAGCTTATTCGGGCTCAGCCCAACTTGTGACTGATCCCGAGTCTGACCAGCTCCACAACTAACAGCTACCATCAGGCCTACCTACTGGCATGCGGTGTAGTCTAGACCACGCTTTGGGAAGGAATACAACTAGTTTTTCTGTCCAGCTTGTAGTCGGCATGCATCCCGTTATGACTGGTGTCTTGGCTAAAAACAAGGACAAACAAACCCCGTTAAGAAGAGGAGCTGCAGGGGGACAGCCAGGCGGACCCAGCTCCCCCAGCAAGCCCGTGCCACAGCTTCCCTGTGCACCCCACCTACCTGGATGTATTTCATGAGCTCCTGCACGTAGCGGTCCCTGTCTGAGGGGACATCGCAGTGGGACTGCATGTACAGCACCGGGGCATAGCCCTTCCGCCGCCACGCGTCCTTCTCGGCCAGGGGCACCGCCGGGCCCCGCAGGTACGCCACGTCGGGCAGCCACTGCAGCGTCAGGGGGTAGTCGGACTCCCGGCGGAAGGTGGCCGTGTAGTTGAAGAGCTGGATGCCGGGCAGATGGGAGAGGACGTAGTTGTTCATGGGGGACTCCTCGTGGAAGAGCGCCCAGGTCTGGTGGGGCAGGCGGGGCA